AAGCTGAGACCCTCTGAAGGGCTGGTTTGCATGGGAAAGACTGCTGGAACACGGGGACGGCAATGTGTGCTACAGGCCCCATCTTCTCGGCTGGCTTCAGGACGGGATCAGATGTGGTGGCGGTTGTAGAGATAGGGCGGGTACAGGCCATCATAGTGCCACTGGCGCCACTGCTCCACAGCCTCCCGGCTCCTCTCTTCCTGCTCTGAGGAGGAAAGGCAAAGCCACCTGTTCCAACAGGGGGACTCTGACCCGCCACTGAGCCCCGTAGCTGTCAGCCCAACCCCTGCCCTGTGGTGACCCGCACTGAGAATGCTTGTGACTCTTGGTGAGAGAAGGCCAGGGCTGGTGAGGACCCAGAGTCGACAGGCCTTGCTTATAGGTCAGGGCCAGATGGGCAAAGGTCACAGGCAGGTGTAGACCAGGGCTGGGCATCTCAGGCTCTTCTGCCTGCACAGCTAGTGTAGACAGACAGAGGGTTATGCAGCCCTGTGTCAAAGAGATAGCAACCAAAACACAAGATGAAAAAGTAACATAATAGTAGCAGGAATGGACTCATGCAAGGAAAAAAGAGAAGGGATGACAAACCATGCCTGGAAAACATGAAGGAAATCAGTCGACTTGGAGTTTTCTCTTCCATCCTGTTCTGAATTAATGCTCTTTCTTGTTTCGTTTTGTTTTGAGACAGGGTGTCAGTCTGTCACCCAGGCTGGAGTGCAGTGGCGTGATCATGGCCCACTGCAGCCTCAACTTCCCAGGGCTCAGGCGATCCTCCCACTTCAGCCTCCTGTGCCACCACGCCAGCTATATTTTTAAATTTTTTTGTAGAGATGGGATTTCACTGTTGTCCAGGTTAGTCTCCAACTCCTGGTCTCAGGCGATCCTCCTGCCTCAGCCTCCCATAGTGCTGGGATTGGCCAGGTGCAGTGGCTCATGCCTGTAATCCCAGCACTTTGATTTTGGGAGTCCGAGGCCCGCAGATCACCCAAGGTCAGGAGTTCAAGACTAGCCTGGTCAATGTGGTGAAACCGTCTTTACTAAAAAAAAAAAAAAAAAAAACACACACACACACACACACACACAAAAGTTAGCCGGGTGTGGTGACATACATCTGCAATTCCAGCTACTTGAGAGGCTGAAGCATGAGAATCACTTGAACCTAGGAGGTGGAGGCTGCAGTGAGCCAAGATTGTGCCACTGCACTCCAGCCTGGGCAACAGAGTGAGATCCTGTCTCAAAAAAAAAAAAAAAAAAAAGAATATGCCCAAAAGAATTGAAAACAGGGACACAGATACTTGTACATGAATGTTTGTAGCAATACTACTCACCATAGCCAAGAGGTGAAATCAACTGCAGTGCCCATTAACAAAGAAATAACAAAATGAGGCATGTGTGTGTGTAAAATTTAGCCACAAAAAGTAATGAAGTTCTGGCACATGCTACAACATGGATAAACCTTAAAAATATTATGCTAAGTGGGCTGGGTACGGTGGCACACACCTATAATCCAGCACCTGGCCAACATGGTGAAACGCTGTCTCTACTAAAAATACAAAAATTGGCTGGGCGTGGTGGTGTGCACCTGTAATCCCAGCTGCTGGGGAGGCTGAGGCAGAAGAATCACTTGAACCCGGGAGGTAGAGGTTGCAGTGAACCGAGATCTTGCCACTGCACTTTAGGTTGGGTGACAGAGCAAGACTCTGTCTCAAAAAATATATTATATATGCTAAGTGAAAGAAGCCCACAAAAAGGTGAATAGTGTGTGATTCCACTTACATGACATGTCTAGAACAGGCAAATTTACAGAGACCAATAAAACTAAAAAGAGAGGTTACCAAAGGCTGCCGGGAGGGAGGAATGGCAAGTTATTCCTTAGTGGATGCAGAGTTTCTATTTGAGGCTATGTAAGCGTTTGGAAATAGCAGTGATCACTGCACAGTGAATGTACGAAATGCTACTGAGTTGCACACTTAAAAATACTTTAGCCTGGGCATGGTGGTTCACGCGTGTCATCCCAGCACTTTGGGAGGCCAAGCTGGGAGGATCCCTTGAAGCCAGGTGTTTGAGACCAGCCTGAGCAACATAGCAAGACATCGTCTCTACAAAGTTATAATTTAAAAAATTAGCCAGGTGTGATGGTGCCTGCCTATAGTGCCAGCTACGTGGGAGGATCGCTCAAGCCCAGGAGGCTGAGGCTGCAGTGAGCTATGATCATACCACTGCACTACAAACCTATCTCAAAAAAAGAAAGAAAGAAAAGACAAGAAAAAAGAAAGAAAGAAAAGGTTTAAATGGCACGTTTTATGTTATATATGTTTTACCACATTTTTAAAAAGCACTTGTCAAAGATGTTGGAAGGATGGGAAGTCCTAAGAGAAGATGATGTCAAGAACTAAAGAACCAAGATGCCTTTCTTACCGGTGTTTCCTCAAATGTGGACCTCACCAAAAAGCCCATGAACCTCATTTTGGTGCCAGTGAAACAAACTGGTTTCATCCTCTGTGGCAGTGGCCAAAAGGACTGTCTGGTAGCTTCACGGTGTGAGGAATGGGGATGTCACTTTAGTCCTTAACACCTGTGAGAGCCACGTGCTCAGTCCAAGACTCACTTCTGCCCAGTTAGGTGCCTGGCCCAGTGACCAGGGAATGTTGAGGCCCCACTCCTGCCAGGAGCGTTTCCCTCTTATGTGAGCACGGAGCTGGCGCTCCCCTTGGTGCTGAAAATCCCATTAGGTACCTAGTAGCCCAGGGGCAGCCTGGAGCTCAAAAGCCAGGCCCAGGCCAGAGCTTTGGGTGTTTACCTTCAGCTCTTTCAGACATTTCTCAAGCCTCATAGAGCAGCTACTCTTTGCCAACCCTGAGAGTGTGGTTTTCATGCAGAGGTTGATTCAACCTCCTGTTTTTTGTTGTTTTTGTTTTTGAGACAAGTTCTCATTCTATTGCCCAGGCAGAATTGCAGTGGCACAATCATAACTCACTGTAGCCTCCTGGGTTCAAGTGATTCTCCAGCCTCAGCCTCCCAAGTTGCTGGGACTACAGGCATGCACCACCATGCCTGCCTAATTTTTAATAGAGACAAGGTTTCGTGTTGCTAGGGCTTAACACCTTGGCCTCCCAAAGTTCTGGGATTACAGGCATGAGCCATGATGCCCATGCGGTATTCCTTTTATGAAGTAAGTACTTTGGGGAGATGTCGAATATCCAACTGCTGTCAGTTACCCTTAGAATAGACGACACGGGGCCAGGTGCAGTGGCTCAAGCCTGTAATCCCAGCACTTTGGGAGGCCGAGGCGGGTGGATCACAAGGTCAAGAGATCGAGACCATCCTGGTCAACATGGTGAAACCCCGTCTCTACTAAAAATACAAAAAAATTAGCTGGGCATGGTGGCGCGTGCCTGTAATCCCGGCTACTCAGGAGGCTGAGGCAGGAGAATTGCCTGAACCCAGGAGGCGGAGGTTGCGGTGAGCCGAGATCGCGCCATTGCACTCCAGCCTGGGTAACAAGAGTGAAACTCCGTCTCAAAAAAAAAAAAAAAAAAGAATAGACGACACGGGACTGGCCGCTGTGGCTCACATCTGTAATCCCAGAAGTTTGGGAGGCTGAGACAGGTGCATCACCTGAGGTCAGGAGTTCAAGATCAACCTGGCCAACATGGTGAAACCCCATCTCTACTAAAAATACAAAAATTAGCCGGGCGTGATGGCTCACACCTGTACTCCCAGCTACTTGGGAGGCTGAAGCAAGAGAATCGCTTGAACCTAGGAGGTGGAGGTTGCAGTGAGCCGAGATCATGTCACTGCACTCCAAGTGAACAGCAGAAAGAGACTCCATCTCAAAAAAAAAAAAAAAAAAAAAAAAAAAAAAAAAAAAAGCCGGGCGCGGTGGCTCAAGCCAGTAATCCCAGCACTTTGGGAGGCCGAGGTGGGTGGATCACGAGGTCAAGAGATCAAGACCGTCCTGGTCAACGTGGTGAAACCCTGTCTCTACTAAAAAAATACAAAAAATTAGCTGGGCATGGTGGCACGTGCCTGTAATCCCAGCTACTCAGGAGGCTGAGGCAGGAGAATTACCTGAACCCAGGAGGCAGAGGTTGCGGTGAGCCGAGATCGTGCCATTGCACTCCAGCCTGGGTAACAAGGGCGAAACTCCGTCTCCACAAAAAAAAAAAAAAAAAAAAAAAAAAGAATAGGTGACTTGGTTAGATAAGAGAGAAGACAGCAGCTAGATGAAACCAGGGTCCTGACAGGTTTATCAGGGACCTCAGAGGAGGGCTTGGAAGCCAGATACCTCGAGCACCACCCCAGGGTTGATTTCAGGCAATGTGAGTCACAGGCAAGGGAGAGGAAAGAAGATTGAAACGACTTCCGCCTCTTTCCTCCATCCTCGGGCCAATTCCTGGATCAAAGAAGCTCTCCAAGCCCTCTGCACATGTGCTCATCCTTGATTTACAAGAACAAGAGCTTTGTGGCCAACAAGCCTTGGGCTATCTACTAGTGGCGTCTCCTTGGGGATTTACATATCCTTTCTAAGCCTCAGTTTTTAATTTTCGTTGTTGAGGTTTTTTTTTTTTTTTTTTTTTTTTTTTTGAGACAGGGTCTTGCTCTGTTGCCCAGGCTGGAGAGCAGTGGCATAATCATAGTCACTCTAGCCTTGAACTCCCCAGGATCAAGCATTCCTCTCTCAACCACCCAAGTAGCTAGGACTACAGGCACATGCCACCAGCCCAGCTAATTTTCTAATTTTTGGTAGCGATGGTGTGTCTCTGTGTTGCTCAGGCTGGTCCCAAACTCCTAGGCTGAAGCCATCCTCCTGCCTCAGCCTCCAGAGTAACTGGAACTCAGGCACATGCCACCATGCCCAGCTTATTTTTTTTTATTGATTTTTTTTTTCTTCTGTAGAGATGGGACCTCATTTTGTTGCCCAAGCTAGTCTTAAACTCCTGGCTTCAAGTGATATTCTCACTCTGGCCTCCCAAAGTGCTGGAATTACAGGTGTGAGCTACGGTACCCAGCTAAGCCTCCATTTTTGAAACTGTGAGCTGGAAATTACAAGGCCTGTCTCAGAGGCAGATTGTAAGGATTAGGTGGTCCCTTACAGTGCCTGGCAGAGCAAGGGCTCAAGGACAACAGCTTCTGGAACCGCAATCCCCAAAGACCCGTGTTTTTGCCATCTGCGTGGGTGAGACCTAGCGTCTCCTGCCTTCCTATCCTGTCAGAGGACCTGCAGGCGCCCAACCCTGCATCCCGAATTCATCATGAAAGGGAAAACAGTGAATGCTTTTTCCGTCAATTCGCCAGAGCTTTGGACCTGAAACATTTAAAACTGCTCAAAATAAAATGCTATTTTTGAGTCGAAAACACACTGAAGGAATTTTGAAGGCCACATTTTCAACTTTTAAATGCTTCTCCCCAAGCTGCCCACCAAGACAAACACATCTCTAGCAGAAGTATGTGCTTCCAAGCTGTGACGGCCGGAATTTTTCCCAGTATGTCCCTAAGAGAGTTTGATTTGCCAGGATCCGAACCCAACACCTGTTTGCAGGGCTCGGCCAGGTGCCACCTGCAGGGCAGGGGGCATAGCCTGCAGCACTTGGTACCCAGGGCTGGTGTCCTTTTCACTAAGAGATGCCTTCCGAGGGTGCTGCCTCCCCAGTCCGTCAGAGCAAACAGCCAGGAGAACGGAAGGGGCTGACTCTCTCCGACAAAGGTGACCTACACCGAGGCCTCACATCCAAGGTCACGTGCACCCAGGAGGTACCAGGTGATTTTCCTCAGGAGCATGACAATCTTCAAATTTGGAGAAAGAAAGAAAGAAGAACAAAACAATGAAGACAGAAAGAATGAAAGAAAGAGAAAGAAGGCAGGGAGGGAGGGAGGGAGGAAGGAGGCTGGGCACCGTTGCTCGCACCTGTAATCCCAGCTCCTTGGGAGGCCGAGACAGGCAGATTACGTGAAGCCAGGAAGTCATAACCATCCTGGCCAACATGGTGAATCCCCGTCTCTACCCAAATGACAAAAATTAGCCGGGCATGGTGGCGCACACCTGTAATCCCAGCTACTCGGAAGGCTGAGACAGGAGAATCGCTTGAACTCGGAGAACTCGGAGGCGGAGGTTGCAGTGAGTGGAGGGAGCCACTGCCCTCCGGCCTGGGCAACAGAGTGAGACTTGGGGGGAAAAAAAGGAAAGGAAGAAAGAGAAACCAGAGAGAAAAACCAGAGAGGAAGGGGGAAGGGAGGGAGAGGGAGGGAGAGGGAGGGAGAGGGAGGGAGAGGGAGGGAGAGGGAGGGACAGGGAGGGACAGGGAGGGACAGGGAGGGAGAGGGAAGGAGAAGGAGGGAGAGGGAGGGAGAGGGAAGGAGAAGGAGGGAGAGGGAGGAAGGGAAGGAGGGAAGGAAGGAAAATAAGTAGACACACACACACACACACACACACGCACACACAGTCTGGTCTGATTCCCATTAAATGGTTCTAAGGATGTTTGCTGTGGGTGACTCTTGAGGGTACTTCATAAAGACAACAAAATTAAATCCCACCCCTTGGGATGCTGTGGCTCAAAGACAGAGCTTCCTCTACCTGTGTCCCCAGCCACATCATCCTCCACTGAGCCCCGGCAAGGCCAGCACTTCCTGAGGGCAGAGAGGAACACTGTCTGCTGAGGCGATGAGCATGGGAACAAGGCGTGCAGATTGCCTGGCCAGGGATGCTGCCCTCCCTGGGCCTTTTCTTTCTTTTTTGAGACAGAGTCTTGCTCTGTTGCCCAGGCTGGAGTGCAGTGGTGTGATCTCTGCTCACTGCAACCTCCGCCTCCAGGTTTCAAGCAATTCACCTGCCTCAGCCTCACAAGTAGCTGAGACTATAGATGTGCAGCACCACGTCTGGCTAATTTTTTTTTTTTTTTTTTTTTTTTTTTTTAGTAGAGACCAGGTTTCACCATGTTGGCCATGCTGGTCTTAAACTCCTGACCTCAAATAATCCACCTGCCTCAGTCCCCCAAAATGCCTGGCCTCCCTGGGCCCTTCCTACTCTTCATTGTTTTACTAGTAAGCAAAAAAAACCAGGCCTTAGCGAAGAAGATACAAACAGGAGAAGCATAAAGCCACAGAAATCTATACCAACATTTTCTGATGCTTTTGAATGAACTGGAGCCTGAAGATGGGCTGTAGATGTTGATGCTGGCGGCGGTGGGGGGAGGTGAGAGGGCAGAAAGCAAGGTGTTTTCTGAGTTCAGTTTTCCTGGTTTGCTTCTGCCAGTCAGTAAGGATGCTGAGTATACTGAATAGGTCAATGAAGGCCTTGATTTTCCAGGCTGAAGTAGTACCTGGAGCCCGACATTGACGTGAATCTAAGGCACCTGCAGGTGAGTCCTGCCATCTCCCCAGTACAATCCTACCAGAGCTAAACCTAAGCTTTGCTGCTTAGACAGAGAACAGACCAGCACAGTCATGCCCAAGTAGGAAGAGGGAGGGAAAGGCGTTTGATATCCACACGGTCAGCAAACAGTTCCCCAATCTCCGCAGCCCCCAGCCAATGGGAACAAGGGTGTTTTGTCCGTTCCACACCTTCTTAAACTCTGTGTAGCCATTTTTCTCCCTTTTTTTCTTTTCCTTTCCCCTTCCCTTCGATTCTCCTTCCTTCCTTCCTCTTTTTCTCTTTCCTTCTTTCCCTCTTTTTTTTAAGAGTTTCACTCTTTCGTCTAGGCTAGAGTGAAGTGGCACTATCTTGGCTCACTGCAACCTCCGCCCACTGAGTTCAAGCGATTCTGCTGCCTCAGCTCCTAAGTAGCTGGGATTACAGGCACCCACCCCACGCCCAGCTAATTTTTGTATTTTTAGTAGAGACAGAGTTTCACCATCACCATGTTGGCCAAGCTGGTCTTGAACTCTTTTTTTTTTTTTTTTTTTTTTTTTTAGATGGAGTTTCGCTCTTGTTACCCAGGCTGGAGTGCAATGGCACGATCTCGGCTCACCGCAACCTCTGCCTCCTGGGTTCAGGCAATTCTTCTGCCTCAGCCTCCTGAGTAGCTGGGATTACAGGCACGCACCACCATGCCCAGCTATTTTTTTTTTTTGTATTTTTAGTAGAGACGGGGTTTCACCATGTTGACCAAGATGGTCTCGATCTCTTGACCTTGTGATCCACCCGCCTCGGCCTCCCAAAGTGCTGGGATTACAGGCTTGAGCCACCGCACCCGGCTGGTCTTGAACTCTTGACCTCAGGTGATCCACCTGCCACGGCCTCCTGAAGTGCTGGGATTACAGGTATGAGCCAGCTCTCCCTTCTTTTCAAGGCTCTTGTGGATATAAACTGAAAGTAGACCTTCCCTTTCCTCCCTCCTCTAATTAATAAAGTTCAGAACTAGCCTGGCCAACATGGCAAAACCCTGTGTCTACTAAACATACAAAAATTTGCCGGGTGTGGTGGTGGTGGTGCCTCTAATCCCAGCTACTTGGGAAGCTGAGGCAGGAGAATCACTTGAACTTAAGCGGTGGGGGTTGCGGTGAGCTGAGATAGCACCACTGCGTTCCAGCCTCGGCAACAGAGCAGAGCAAGACTCCGTCTCAAAAAAGGAAAGAAGAAAAAAGTTGGGTAGAAGAAGAGAAGGCAAACCATGTGATTTTCCCCCAAAGCTCCACCTCCCTGAAGGCGCTGGCTGAGGAGCCCTTACCATCATTCTGTTCCTCCACGAAGTTCTCAGATTCATTCCTTTGTTCCTCATAATATTCTCTGCGCAGCTCATCAGCCCGAAGCTTCTGCCTGTTTTCCGCTGTGAAAGGAAAAGAAGCTAGCGTGCCCCCTCGCACTCGGGAATGAGGACGTTTACACTTAGAGGAACACAGTTCACCTGAGAAGTCACGCCTGGCTGGGGAGGAGTGGTTTGTGAAGGATGGTAGGAAGCTTCCCTGAAATGATTTACTCCTGACACAGACTTGATAACTTGAAGGTGATTGACCGATCCAACTGCCTCATTTGCAGATGAGAAGACAGAGGCTCCGAAGAGTCAAGTGCTTTAGCTTTGACTATAAAGTTGGTGGTGTATCCAAGTATACCAGGCCACTTGGAAACCAGAAATCCCAAGGTCAGAGATGAATTCCATAAAGGAATAATCCAACTTAATCTCACGTTAATTAATACGTTCAAGTCCATTCGACATTTTGGAGCACTTATCACGACCAGGATATAGGCTGAGCACTGGAATTAAAAGGCCAAGTAAGAAAGATTCTGTCCCTCCAGCCAGGTATGGTGGGACATACCTGTGAGCTTAGCTACTAGGGAGGCTAAAGCAGGAGGGTTGCTTGAGGCCAGGAGTTCAAGGCTGCAGTGAGCTGTGATCACGCCACTGCACTCCACTCTGGGCAAAAAAAGCGAGACCTTGTCTAAAAAAAAAAAAAAAAAAAAAAAAAAAAAAAAAAAAAAAATCTGGCCGTCTCGGTGGCTCACACCTGCAACCCCAGCTCTTTGGGAGGCTGAGGCGGGTGGATTGCCTGAGGTCAGGAGTTCCAGATCAGCCTGGCCAACATGGTGAAACCCCGTCTCTACTAAAAATACAAAAAAATTAGCCAGGCATGGTGGCACATACCTGTAATTCCAGTTATTCAGGAGGCTGAGGCAGGACAATCACTTAAACCTGTGAGACAGAGGTTGTAGTGAGCCATGATCACGCCCGTGCACTCCAGCCTGGGAGACAGAGCAAGACTCTACCTCAAAAACAAAAAAAGGAAAATCTGTCCCTCTGCTCAAGAGACCTGCAATTCAATAAGGAGAAAGACATAAGAATAAGTTTTACCAAGCATTAGAGCCGCTGAAAAGAAAATTTCAGTTTGTCTGGAGGCAATGATACAAAGCTCTCTACTTTTTTTTTTTTTGAGATGGAGTTTCGCTCTTGTTACCCAGGCTGGAGTGCAATGGCACGATCTCGGCTCACCACAACCTCTGCCTCCTGGGTTCAAGCAATTCTCCTGCCTCAGCCTCCTGAGTAGCTGGGATTACAGGCACGTGCCACCATGCCCAGCTAATTTTTTGTATTTTTAGTAGAGACGGGGTTTCACCGTGTTGACCAGGATGGTCTCGATCTCTTGACCTCGTGATCCACCCGCCTTGGCCTCCCAAAGTGCTGGGATTACAGGCTTGAGCCACCGCGCCCGGCCTAAGCTCTCTACTTTCAAGGTATTTCCTCTAGCATGTGCTTCAGCTGGAAAAACCCATGAAGACAGGGAGGCCATGTCTAGGGCAGGAAAAACCAGTCCCTCAGAACACCTCACAGTCTCATGGCGGGATTCCCCTCACACCAAATGCGTGAGAGGGAGGTACTGTCTTGCCTCACCAACTCTGATATGCAAGAGAAAGCTAGGGGGTGACGAAGGAAGCAGAGAAACTGGGGAAAGTCATGGTTCCCTACCTCCACCCTGCACGACAGAGGTGCTGGGAGAAACAAGAAGTCTTTGCAAAATGATAATATTAGAAACTGTCTCAAGCCAGGCGCGGTGGCTCATGCCTGTAATCCCAGCCCTTTGGGAGGCTGAGGCACGCAGATCACTTGAGGTCAGGAGTTCAAGACCAGCCTGGCCAACATGGTGAAACCCCATCTCTACTAAAAATACAAAAATTAGCTAGGCGTGGTTGCAGATGCCTATAATCCCAGCTACTCTGGAGGCTGAGGCAGGAGAATAGCTTGAACCCAGGAGGCAGAGGTTGAGATCGCACCACTGCACTCCAGCCTGGGTAACAGAGCGAGACTCCATCTCTAAATAAATAAATAGAAACCATCTCAAATCCTTCTTGGAAGTAAGACACTTACATTAATCAATGAATTATATAAATACTAGTTATTTCTGTTACTTTTCTATAATTTAACTCAGATTAAAAATCAAATTAGCTGGGAACTGGGCTTAGTGCAGATTCCAGACTTCTGGAGTGTTCCTTCCTAGATGTATGCCTTTACCCACTTAGTTGCAGGAAACTTGAGTCTGGCAGAAGGAGTTGTTTGTCCCATCCATACCCGCGCCCCACCTCTCACTCCACATCCACACTTCTCAGGAGGGGATTCAGGCTCAGAGACATGCACGACCTAACGGAGGTCACACAGCAGGCTAGGGCAGAGCTAGGGCACCAGGTTCCCACATGCCACCATTGGCCCAGAACACATCTTCATGGCCGCTTCCCTCTCCCCACCCACTGTGGGCCCTGATGTTGCTCCAAGTACCAGAGAGCCATTGTGGGAGGTTGCTGAGTGTATGGTTGACTACAGTATATTGTTTGCTGAGAACCACCGCCCCCCTCCCCCCGCCCCAAGCGGAAAACTGCTCAGGGTATTCTGAAGAAGTAAACAGTATGTTTATATCACACACCAGTTAAACTAGTTCTCAGAGCACCGGATCTGTGGCCTGCCCCGTGGCTCCCTCCTGGAGAATGCTTTCTAGCTTGTCCTTGATCAGTGGTGAGCGGGCACCAGCTGCCTGCCTAGTTTATCTTGATTCTATGAGAAAACACAGAACACCTGCTTGTTAATTACAATCACCTGTTCAGAGAAAATAAACACGTGGGGCAGAGGCTGCCCAAGGCTCTCAGCTGGGAAGGCTGTTAGCGCCCCAAAAGTCGCACTTTGCACTCTATCTTTGTGTCTGTTTCTTAATTCCTTCAGTACCACTGGGTTGGGGTCTCTATGGCCGAGCTGGTCTCGGTAGGAGGTTTGGGGGTTTAGGAAGCAGGTGCTTAGTAAGCCACTGCCAATTCTGAAAGAAGCATTCTCTGTCCCCTGTGTACTCAGGACAGGAAATGATCCTCCCAAGTGGCCTTTCCAGAGGTGCTGCAAATTGGAGCTCTGAGGTAATAAATAAGAACAATTTTTTTTTTTTTTTTGAGACGGAGTTTCGCTCTTGTTACCCAGGCTGGAGTGCAATGGCGCGATCTCGGCTCACCGCAACCTCCGCCTCCTGGGTTCAGGCAATTCTCCTGCCTCAGCCTCCTGAGTAGCTGGGATTACAGGCACGAGCCACCATGCCCAGCTAATTTTTTGTATTTTTAGTAGAGACGGAGTTTCACCATGTTGACCAGGATGGTCTCGATCTCTCGACCTCGTGATCCACCCGCCTCGGCCTCCCAAAGTGCTGGGATTACAGGCTTGAGCCACCGCGCCCGGCCTCATAAATAAGAACAATTTAATCCTCAGGACAACACAAAAATACCGTGCGTCATTCTGTGCACTGTATACGTTCCTTCTGAGGAACATGCATTCATCACATTCTCTTTCCACCCTAAAGTAGGCTTCACCTTTATCTCAGAGGCTTAGAGATGTCAGATGCCTGTCTCACGGTTCCAAATTCAAGGTAATTGAAGTGTCTGTCACCTATCCTTCATCCAGTCTGAGGGATCGCTGGGCACTGCCCTTCTGCCATCCACAGGAGTTGATCGGTGACAGCAGATGTGTTCACGCACAATCCTGAGTGTTCACCAGGCTCTCCTGTACCTCCCACAACTAACTGACACACCAAGCTTCTGTCCGAGGTGAGGAACTCCAGGCTTAACGGTGTACCTCATTGTTTGGAGTCAGCTTAAGAGGCCGTGCACAGTGGCTTACTCCTGTCATCTCAGCACCTCGGGAGGCGGAGGCAGGTGGATCACCTGAGGTCAGGAGTTCAAGACCAGCCTGGCCGTTATGGCAAAATTCCATCTCTACAGAAATACAAAAATTAGCCAGATGAGGTGGCAGGTGCCTGTAATCCCAGCTACTTGGGAGGCTAAAGCAGGAGTATCACCTGAACCTGGGAGGTGGAGGTTGCAATGAGCCAAGATCCTGTTACGGCCCTCCAGCCTGGGCGATGGAGTGAGAGTCCATCTCAAAATTAAAAAAAGAAGACAGAGCCGGGCGCGGTGGCTCAAGCCTGTAATCCCAGCACTTTGGGAGGCTGAGGCGGGTGGATCACGAGGTCGAGAGATCGAGACCATCCTGGTCAACATGGTGAAACCCCGTCTCTACTAAAAATACAAAAAATTAGCTGGGCATGGTGGCACGTGCCTGTAATCCCAGCTACTCAGGAGGCTGAGGCAGGAGAATTGCCTGAACCCAGGAGGCAGAGGTTGCGGTGAGCCGAGATCGCGCCATTGCACTCCAGCCTGGGTAACAAGAGCGAAACTCCGTCTCAAGAAAAAAAAAAAAAAAAGAAGAAGACAGAAGCTATTTGCCTGGCGTAAAATCATGTTTCCCCCCCGGAAGTCTGCCAGAAGATTGCTTCTCCACTTATAATCAGTAACAGTCCGGCCTCCCCAACAGCATTTCAGTGTTTCTTGGCATTGACCAACTTTTAAATCTCAAGTTGTATGAGGCCTGGAGGTTTTCCTAGCATGGTTATGCTTACCCAGTTGTTTTTTTTGTTTTTTTTTTTGAGACGGAGTTTCGCTCTTGTTACCCAGGCTGGAGTGCAATGGCGCGATCTCGGCTCACCGCAACCTCCGCCTCCTGGGCTCAGGCAATTCTCCTGCCTCAGCCTCCTGGGTAGCTGGGATTACAGGCACACGCCACCATGCCCAGCTAGTTTTTTGTATTTTTAGTAGAGACGGGGTTTCACCATGTTGACCAGGATGGTCTCGATCTATTGACCTCGTGATCCACCCGCCTCGGCCTCCCAAAGTGCTGGGATTACAGGCTTGAGCCACCGCGCCCAGCTGCCCAGTTGTTTTTTTTTTTTTTTTTTTTTTTTTTTTTTTTTTTGAGACGGAGTTTCGCTCTTGTTACCCAGGCTGGAGTGCAATGGCGCGATCTCGGCTCACCGCAACCTCCGCCTCCTGGGTTCAGGCAATTCTCCTGCCTCAGCCTCCTGAGTAGCTGGGATTACAGGCACGCGCCACCATGCCCAGCTAATTTTTTTGTATTTTTAGTAGAGACGGGGTTTCACCGTGTTGACCAGGATGGTCTCGATCTCTTGACCTCGTGATCCACCCGCCTCGGCCTCCCAAAGTGCTGGGATTACAGGCTTGAGCCACCGCGCCCGGCTCAGTTGTTTTTTTTTAAAGAAATTTCATCTCCAAGCATTTCTATCTCTGTTCTTCCCATCGTTTGAAAACAGTCCTGTTATTTTTACCAAGGAAGTCACCTTGCTGAGTGCCCTGAAGGATACAAAGAGTTCATTCATTCACAGGCACGAGGAGAGACTCCAGCCAGAGACGCGGGAGGTACGGTCCGAGCTCAGTGTCTTGGAAGAAGCAGGTTCAGGAGCAGAAACTCAAATGCCCTCGGAGGTTGGCAGGTCAAGGACATGAGGACCCTGAAGCTGGGGTTCCACAGGTCCGACCACAGGCTGCGCGGCAGACAGGCTCACCCCAGTGCACTGGAAATAAAAACTTTAAAAAAACTCTGCTAGCTGTACACAGCTCTTTCAGAGGCTTATAAATAATGAAATGAGGACCAGAGAGAGGAAGTGGCCAAGGCCACTTAGCAGCACAGCTGTCCCCAAACCCACATTTCTCAGCACCCAGTGTCCTGTGCTTTCCCATGTGCGACACAGTTGCTCTTGCACTGAGGTGTGCTGTGCCAGTACCCCCAAAGCACACACTGATGTGTGGGGCCTCTCCAGACCGGAACTTGTATTTCCCTCCCTACGCCTTTCTGAGGCTGAATGCATCTTATCCCTGGTAGGTGCATTTAACGTGGCATCATGGCCAAGAAGCAGGACAGGAGGCCCTGTATCTATGTCATCTTTGCAGAAGTGGGGCCTCTTTACCCTGACAAAGTATACAATCCAGTATACGACCTACAGGCAGGAAATAGGGTGTCATTTCTCATTCAGAGCTGCGGTCCCTTTGATACCCAAGGGCCTGGGTGAGCCCTCGGTGCCAGCTGCATCCGGCTGGCCTGCCAGGTGTGGGAAAGGAGGAGCAGGGGTGAGGGTGGGGTCCCTCCAGCATCCTTACCATTGACCTCATCTTGGGGCTTGGGAGACCGCTTGCCACGCCTCTTGAGGAAATTCGAGGCATCTGACTCCTGCATGAAAATCTTCTGCTTTGCATCTGAAACCCAGGAGAGGCCTGTCACCAGCAGCGTGGGGATGGCAGGGCTGCTGCTTCACTGGCTGCGCCTGCCCGCCCCGGGGGGTGGGCCCTGCACTCACCCGGGCTGGCCTCTTCTCCCGCTGCCTGCGCGGTTCCCTCTCCCAGCACTGTGGGACAAGGGCGCAGAGTGAGGCTGCAGCATCAAGGGGAGCCCAGACCCTGAGCTGAACCCCCATCCTGCTTTCCAGGCTAAGGGTCCTGCCAGGCCCTGGCATGGGGCCTCGGTTTCTCACATACCAGCTGCAGAGCCAACCTCCCCAGGATCCCACCAAGCAGACTGGCTTGGGGTTTTTTTCAGTTTTGTTTCTTTACTGTTTTTTTTTTTTCCTGTATTATATTGTGTTTTACACACACACACACACACACACACACACACACCCTTTAACAATAAGCACACCCCTTTCTACCGGCATCACCTGAGCAGCGTTACCTGTGCAAGGCAAATCTCCCTCTCCATGTAACTAACACCCTCCGCCTTGACCCTCCCGTACTCACTAGACAGGAGCACCAGGGCGGAGAAGCCAGACAGCAGGAAGACCTGTCTCCAAGTCATCTTTGCAGAAGTGGGGGCTCTGTCCAGGACCCACAGGGCAGACCAGGCGTCTTGCAACTCTCCCGGGTCCCCACTTCTGAGGCAGGCGGCCCAGGGCCCAGGCGAGAGAGAGGAAGGGAGGGAGGGAAGAGAGAGGTAGGAGGCTGGGATGCCGCTGGGGGAGAGAAGGAGGGGGCCGGGCTGCCCTCTCCATTGGCTGCTCCTGGACGGAGCACTGGAGATGTTTTTGGCGCCTGGCAAATGTCTCGAGAAGCAGAGCTTGTAGTTAGGGCCCTGGCTGGAGCGGTCTTAGAGTGGCCTTTCCAATGTCCGTGTCTGGGGATCTGCTGCTGGGAAGGCTCATCCTAACAGTCAGGGTTCCAGAGACTAAGGCTGTGTCAAGGCATTCCTGGCACCTGCTCCAGGGATGTGAGGGCCCCACCCTCAGGGCTGAAGCATGGGTGGGGGCAAGTAGGAAGAGGGGGATCAATGGGGGAGTTTTGATCCAAATGTCAAGCAAGGAGGGCCCATGATGACCAGAGTACCCATCAGGGTGACACACACGTCTGGGCCATGCTAACAGCGACCACAGAACACCTTACCTGACACACTGCTCCCAGCCGATGCTCACTGCCCAGCCAAACACAAACCCCTGGGGTGGCGGGTCCCAGAGCCCTTTAAAGACAGCAAGAGCAAGAGTCAGTCGCCTTCCCTCAGTGGCTCACGCCTGTAATCCCAGCACATTTGAGGCCAAGGTGGGCAAATCACCTGAGGTCAGCCTGGCCAATGTGGTGAGACCCTGTCTCTACTAACAATACAAAAAAAAAACCAGGCGTGGTGGCAGGCACCTGTAATCCTAGATACTAGGAAGGCCGAGGCAGAAGAGGCTGAGGCACTTGAACCCAGGAGGCAGAGGTTGCAGTGAGCCAAGATCACGCCACTGCACTCCAGCACGGGTGACAGAATGAGACACCGTCTAAATAAATAAATAAATAAATAAATAAATAAAATTTAAAAATAAAAACAGCAAGGCCGAGAGTCAATCACGTTCTACCGTGGAGCGAGAGGAGGGCAGGTGTCTGAAAAGCTCCACAGCTAATCCTGCATCTCTAGGACTACAGGCATCATAGTCCACGTAGGGGAGGAAATGGGAACGCTAATGACATTGACACTGACGTGGCCATCACAGCACAGTCCCTTTGGCGATGCGTTCCTGACGTTGTCCTTTCTTAGGAACCATCATCGTGAAGTCTTTTTTTTTTTTTTTTTGAGACGGAGTTTCGCTCTTGTTACCCAGGCTGGAGTGCAATGGCGCGATCTCGGCTCACCGCAACCTCCGCCTCCCGGGTTCAGGCAATTCTCCCGCCTCAGCCTCCTGAGTAGCTGGGATTACAGGCACGTGCCACCATGCCCAGCTAACTTTTGTATTTTTAGTAGAGACGGGGTTTCACCATGTTGACCGGGATGGTCTCGATCTCTTGACCTCGTGATCCGCCCGCCTCGGCCTCCCAAAGTGCTGGGATTACAGGCTTGAGCCACCGCGCCCGGCCATCATGAAGTCTTTGCTCTCAACCGTTGGGCACTGTTTAACATTTTGCTAAGCTCCCCTCTTATAAGACTTTCAGATTGTCTGGGCAAAGTGACTCATGCCTGGAATCCCAGCACTTTAGGAGGCTAAGGCAGGAGGATCACTTGAGGAGTTGGCGACAAGCCTGGGCAACATAGCAAGGCCTCCCCCCCATGCCTGTTTAAAAGAAGGAAAGACTTTCAGCTGGGCGCGGTGGCTCATGCCTGTAATCTCAGCACTTTGGGAGGCCAAGGTGAGTGGATCACTTGAGGCCAGGAGTTCTAGACCAGCCTGGCCAATGTGACAAAACCCTGTCTCTACTATAAATACAAAAATCAGTCAGGTATGGTGGCATGCACCTGTAGCCCCAGCTACTCGAGAGGCTGAGGCAGGAGAATCACTTGAACTCAGGAGGCGGAGGTTGCAGTGAGCTGAGATCAGGCCATTCCACTCCAGCCTGGGTGACAGAGCGAGAGTTTGTCTCAAAAGAGAAAAAAAAAAAAAAAGGCTGGGCACGGTGCCTCATACCTGTAAGGCTAGCAGTTTGGGAGGCCAAGGCAGGTAGATCGCCTGAGGTCAGGAGTTCAAGACCAGGCTGTTCAACATGGTGAGACCCCATCTCTACTAAAAATACAAAAATTAGCTAAGTGTGTTGGTGGGTACCTGTAATCATAGCTACTCAGGAGGCTGAGACAGGAGAATTGCTTAAACCTGGGAGACAGGTTGCAGTGAGCCAAGATAGCGCCACTGCACTGCAGCTTAGGTTATAGAGTGAGACTCCATCTCAAAAAAAAAAAAAAAATCCTAGAGACAGGGACTTATTATGTTGTCCAGGCTAGTCTGATGCCTGACCTCAAGCAATCCCCCTGCCTTGGCATCCCGAAGTGCTGGGATTACAGGCGAGAACCACCGTGCCCAGGCCACCTGAGATTCCCAGTGACTACAGGGATCTGCTCCAAGGAGTGTTCTGCCCAGAGCTGGTTTCCGTGATCTGTCAGGGCCTTGAAACTTTCTCTCCTTCTAGACCAGGGCATTCATCTCCACACACTTCCACCTTCAGCTGCCCCTTCCCTCGGGCTGCCCACCACTGCTCAATGTGCTGCAGAAGTGGCCTCCTCGTGACATTATATGCCAAAAGACAACATGCCACCTCACCTCAAGGCGCAGGCACAGTTCCAGTGGCTGGGGAAGAAGAGAAGAGTGCTGGATTGGATATCAGAAGACCTGAGTTAGCCCCACAAGTACTGTATGCTGGATTTGTCCAAAGACACCTCCTTTGAGATTTCTCTTTTTGCTGTTTTCTTTCTTTCTTTTTTTTTTTTTTTTGAGACGGAGTTTCGCTCTTGTTACCCAGGCTGGAGTGCAATGGCACAATCTCGGCTCACCGCAACCTCCGCCTCCTGGGTTCAGGTAATTCTCCTGCCTCAGCCTCCTGAGTAGCTGGGATTACAGGCACGTGCCACCATGCCCAGCTAATTTTTCTGTATTTTTAGTAGAGACGGGGTTTCACCATGTTGACCAGGGTGGTCTCAATCTCTTGACCTCGTGATCCACCCGCCTCGGCCTCCCAAAGTGCTAGGATTACAGGCGTGAGCCACTGTGCCCGGCAGCTTTGAATTTTTTAAGCCTGAAAATGGGATGGCAATTAACAGCTGCTGAACAACATTCGATAAAGCAACCCAGGGACGAGGACTTAAGGCAATTAATCTGGTGGCAAGATCCACTCACAAAAAATTGGGAAAGAGGTAATGTAATAACACGGGACAGCGGATTTGATTGTGTTTCCCCAGGTCCAAATCAACGATCAGCGTGGGTACCATCCAGACATTTAAAGCCCTATTATGAGCCAGCTACCAAAAAAGAGACTTGCAGAGGACTCCCCAGTCACAGAAAGGGCGAGACTAACACTGAGGCAAAGTCCTATTCCCACGAGGGGAACACGCCAAGCATCACACTTGCGGTCAGATCAAGAAGCTTTGGCAGATGGCGGAGAAGCCTGCTACATGAGTAACTAACTTGATGACAGCCGTGGTGGCGGTTACCACCATTACAGTGGGTATTTTTGGAATTGGGGTAGAAGTAAAAGGAAGTTTACATATTGGGCATGCATTCTTTCCCTCCTTTGTTGCATATGATCTCTGGCCTTAGTATTCTCTATAATAGTCTAGGAAATAAAGTAACAATGTTTCGGCCATCAAAACCTGATTATAGATAAGGTAAAGAATGGTCCCCTAAATTAAAAACATTAATCTGGTGGGATTTGCTGTGATAGAGGCTGAGTTGCGGTGCAACAATTCCTATGGGATTATTATTGAGTCTCGGTCCCCTAAGGGGATACTTAGCATTGATTGCGCCAGGCAGTCCTCTTGCAGTAACATGGAATTTAGATGGTGGATAAAGAACTACAGTTATGGCCGGGCACAGTGGCTCACGCCTGTAATCCCAGCACTTTGGGAGGCCGAGGCGGGTGGATCACGAGGTCAAGAGATCGAGACCATCCTGGTCAACATGGTGAAACCCCGTCTCTACTAAAAATACAAAAATTAGCTGGGCATGGTGGCGCACGCCTGTAGTCCCAGATACTAGGGAGGCTGAGGTAGGAGAATTGCTTGAACCCAGGAGGCGGAGGTTGCGGTGAGCCGAGATCGCGCCATTGCACTCCAGCCTGGGTAACAAGAGCGAAACTCTGTCTCAAAAAAAAAAAAAAAAAGAAAAAGAAATTATATGTTCTTCAGCCGAGTGCAGTGGTTCACACCTGTAATCCTAGTACTTTGGGAGGCCAAGGTGGGCAGATCACAAGGTCAGGAAATGGAGACCATCCTGGCTAACACAATGAAACCCTGTCTCTACTAAAAATACAAAAAATTAGCTGGGCATGGTGGCACATGCCTGCAGTCCCAGCTACTCAGGAGGCTGAGCTGGGAGAATCTCTTGAACCTGGGAGGTGGAGGTTGCAGTGAGCTGAGATTGCGCCACTGCACTCCAGCCTGGACAACAGAGCAAGACTCCGTCGGAAAAAAAAAAAAAAAAAAGATGTTCTTTAAAAACAATTGTGGTTTAATACAGATAACATAAAACGTGGCATCTTAGCCACTTTCAGGTGTAGAGTTGAGTGGCATCAAGCACACTCACACTGTTATGCAAGCATCCTCACCATCCGTCTCCAGAATACTTTCCATTCTGCAAATCGGAACTTCTTTCCCCTTTAAACAACTCCCCACTCTTCCTCCCTCCTGCCCCTGAGAACCACCATCTACCTTCTGTCTATGAATTTGACTACTCTAGGGATGTCCATTCCATGTAAGTGGAATCAGACCATAATTATCCTTTTGCATCTGGCTTACTTAGCATAATGTCCTCAAGGATCATCACGTTTTCGCATGGATCAAATTTTCCTTCTTTTTTCTTTTTGTAAGACAGAGTCTCAGTCCATTGCCCAGGCTACAGTGCAGTGGCATGATCACGGCTCACTGCAGCCTCCACCTCCTGGGTTCAAGCGATTCTCCTACCTCAGCCTCCTGAGTAGCTGGGATGACAGGCGCGTGCCACCACACCAGGCTAATTTTTGTATTTACAGTAGAGACAGAGTTCTGACATGTTGGCCCAGACTGGTCTTGAACTCCTGGCCTCACATGATCTGCCCGTGTTGGCCTCCCAAAGTGCTGGGCTTACAGGTGTGAGCCATGGAGCTTGGCCAGAATTTCCTTCATGTTGAGGGTAATACTCCATTGCATGTATACACCACATTTTGTGGATCCATTCATCCATCGACAAACATCTGGGTTGCTTCCACCCTTTGTCTGTTGTGAATAATGCTGCTAAGAACAGGGATGTACAAATATCTCTTTGAGCCTGCTTTCAGTTCTTCTAGGTATCCATCCAAAGTGTGACTGCTGGATGGGATCCATGTGTTTTCTTTTTGTTTTTATTTTATTTTATTTATTTATTTTTCTCGAGATGGAGTCTAGCTCTGTCACCCAGGCTGGAGTGCAGTGGCGTAATCTCAGCTCACCGCAACCTTTGCCTTCCAAGTTCAAGCAATTCTCCTGCCTCAGCCTCCAGGGTAGCTGAAATTACAGGCACGTGCCATCACCCCCAACTAATTTTTGTATTTTAATTAGAGACAGTGTTTCACCATACTGGCCAGGATTGTCTC